AGAAGCAGCCACACTTAATTCCTGGGATACTTACCAGATCACAAGACAAATCATCTCTCTAAGTGCCACAGGTTTAAGACATGGTGCGGAACTGTCAAAACCAAGCAATTCTTACAAATAAATCAACTAGTTTTATGCAATTATTTCAAGCAGATTCTCCTCCTCATGACAAAAGCAAAACAACACTGTCAGTTGTTAGATCTGGTGTCTTTTGGCTTTATGTGCTCCCCATCAGCATAATATATTTTACAGGTACCCTAACGCTTTTAAACTTTTTAAAAAGCTTTGAAACTATTTTTAAAAAATTAAAAGTTTCAATTACAATGACTTCTGAAGTGAAAGAATTGAATGCATGGTTAAAATGAAAATTTACCTCGAAATTTTTATAAGTTCAATTTAGCAAACGGAATGCAAAACTAAACTTTCTTATGTTTGCTGACAAGAGCTCAAAACCAAAACTGCAGTAGGTTTGTTAGACCAGAATGTCTTTAATGACTGAAATCATACGTGAGCAAAATACAGCTGTAGCACAGCTACACAGCTCTGAAGTTTTAGATTACGGTGAGCAGATACAATCAAGATAATTGAGACAACATACTAATAAATTGCCTGCATACTGATTTATACATTTCAAGTTCTCCACCCTCTACCAGAGCAGTGCCTTTCTGTAAGAGATTATAGAGAAGATGGACTTTTGTAACGCAGATGCTAAATCCTCTTGAGGATAAGCAGGAAGGCTTGCGATCAAGGTTACAAACAAAAGGTGATCCATCACCTGCGAGAGCAGCTGAAGCCACTCCTTTAGTAACAACTTTCCATTCAAAAATAAAAGTGACAAGCTGAACCTCACACTCCGAGCATCCAATGTCCTCTTTCTACACCAGCTGCACAGAATATCCATCACCTAAACGGGACTCCTGCTTATACAAGCTGCCCACGTTCCAGGAACAGGATTTGGACCCCAGTCCAGTATTCAGCAATTGCCTAATGAGAATCATATTGGTCACCAAAAAGAAAACCCCAAAAGCCCTGAAACAAATTTGCTATAGCTATGGGTTCTAGCGGCAGACCATACACAATTGGTCTATGAAAGCAAAAAGGCTGTATTTTTTAAATGTTTCCTACTACATACAAGAACAAATGCAGGATGTGATGTTTGCTTAGTTTTATTAATTTATTTTTGCAGGAATCTGCACCTCGGAGTATGCACTTTCTGGAGGTACCATGCATGCATAGCCTCTGAATGCTTTTATACAATTTCATCTCTTAGTAATAAGTTCATTCACAGCATACACAAATCTAGAATGTAGACACCATATATACAGGATTAAACAAGATCGTGTCTTTTTTTTTTTTTAATGAAAAAATTTAACAGGGTTTCACACAGCAGGAAATATGGATTAGATACACTGGTGCCACCATAAATAAATAAGTTTCAAGAACACAGTTTTTTAAAATTGGTTTCAAAGGTACTGAAAATCCAGGGTTATAATATTGCATTAACGCCATTGATTTCTGATTATTCAAAATCAAGAAAAATACTTGCATTAATATTTATGGACATAAACAGCAATGAAAGCCCCAAACTGAAGAATTCTGGCAAAATTCAGTCATGGCTAGCTTTGTATAATATTGACGTTTTGAAACGAAACAAATGCAGCAGCACATAGAGACAGTACTGATTATGAGATGTGATATCTGTTCATGTCTTCTTTCTTTACGGGATTTAAAAGTCACTGTAGTACAGAGCACGTAAATTCTGTGGTACCAAATAAGCTGATGAATTGTTTATGTCCAACTGTTCACTTCTCGTCAGGATAGTCATTTTCACATTCTAGGGTATACTGTTTTAAAACAAAAACTAGCATCCTGATGACAAGCTTGTTTTAACATATTTAATATCTCACAATCTTGTTTAAAACATTCTTTATTGTTTTCATTTTGTCCCCATTTCAACTCAAGTATTTTTATTTCAGTTTCAAGGGGTTTTACAATCAATATTAAATGTAAAAGTATTTAGAAATTGAAATGAGAGATGTATAACTGGGACAGATAAAGTAACTGAAAGAAAAGTTTTTTTTAAAAAAAAACGTGATTTAGTAGCATATCATAATCAGAAAGTACTGAGACCAGCTCTTTTAAGAATTATTACACCTTTTCACCACACCTCCCATTTTTCAAGGGAAACACACACATACCACAGACACACAGATACACAATTCAATCTGATCTAAGACTACATTTTACAAAGTACTTCCTTTTGCTTGACTTCCCACCCCTTTCCTCTTCACCCAAACAAGACTAATAATTACATGAAATTAAAAGCAGATCCAAAGTTCAGGATTTCTTTTGGTTTACTATGTTCTGAATCATTTTCCACAAGCCCCACTCTAAATAAACTACAGTAGTATTCTATAATTAAAGGGAATTCATCTTAATAGCACAGTAAATATAAAATAAGCTTTATAAAATTTCAATGAGCAGTGAAATCATTTTGAATATCTGAATGTCCAAGTCAGTTACAAACTCTACCACTCTAGTAGCATGGTTGAGGGAAAGCTCAGTCATTAAGGAAAAAAAGAAAACACAAGTAGTGCATTAACACAACACAATGGCATCAGCATCCCACCATTCACACACTCTCTCACACACACACGTTTTATACAATACAGTGCATTTTGTATGCCAGCTGACATCAGGGTTTTATGTGCATTCAATAAATATTACATAAACCAATCTTTTTGGCATAATCTACAATTCAGTTGGGGTGTGAACGGCATCACCTGCTTTCAGAAGGAAAATGGATCTTCCAATATTCAAAGTACAATTTACATTCTAACAAACTAAAAATATTCAAGCACCATGTAAAGTCTTTACTATTAATGTCTGAGTATGGGCATTTACAAGTAAAAGAATACAACAGAAGGGGTTTTTTTTGTACAAGCAACAAATGAGAGTAATGAAAAAACTGGAGTAAAAATATTGGTATGAAGGAATTCACTTGCAATTTAATGGCACTCACTCAGTCTTCCAAAAAGCATCTTGCTGTCATGGCAGCCTTCCTTCTCTTCCTCTGGTAAAGCTATGACTAAGATTAGCAAGTCTCCATTTATGGTTATTACAGTTCAGGAAATTATTGGACTCCACACATTTCCCCCCCGCCCCCCCCAAATGTAGCATCTATTCTGGCTGAAAATGGCACAACTGTATTGATGCATAACACACCTACTCTCATTTGCTGACTGTCATTTCAGTTGCTATCATTTTGTAATTCCAGCAAAAGCAAATGCTTCTAGAACTTCAACAGAAGTACAAATGAACAGAAAATTGAAATAATACAAAGGCAGAGGCATAATGATAGAAAAGTCATGAAGTTACTGGTATTGTTTTGAGTAATTCATTATGCAGCTGATAACAGCAATGGCACTGCTTATCCTAGGTATAATGCTTCTGCTCATCTGTTTTCTAGTTATCTCAGTTTTGTCAGACCGTCCATGTATATGAACAAAATTAATATTTGCCTTCTAACTTCATTTGACAGCAATTCTCCACATGTGATGAGCTCCCAACACAGTAACAGAAGGACAGAAGTAGGGAAGGAAAACTAGCTATGATGCCTTTGACTTTGTTTTGGTCATCAGTGGTGCGCACTGATTGCTGGAGATCTCTTAGCTTATTTAAAATTATGCTGAAGATTTAATTAGTGCAAGAACATATTGAAAAATGCCAGATAAAATATTGGTTCCTCATCTAAGATCACAGTTTGGTTTTTACTGTCATCTTTATAAACTGCAGGGAGAGAAGACAGCAGATTGCACAATGCAGTCAAGATAAGTTTTTCTCCACCCACCCCCTTACAAACACTGCTTGATTTTAAATAAGGATTCAGACACACGATTGTTCTACCACAGCTTAACATGTTATCACACGTCAAGTGAATTGGGGTAATTGACCATACGGATGTGGCTGGAACAATTTAAAATGAAGTATCTTGAATCTCTTCTGGTAAGGTTTAGCTCGCCCATTTTGCCTCACAGTTGCAAAGTCAATTACCATAACTCAGCTGACGTGCTTGGTTGCGTCTCTGAATCTTGACAAAGTTATACCATAAAAACTCAAATGCACTGTACCAGCTTCTGACCAGTACACAAGAACATCCTACTCAGTTGCACAGTTGTGTAACATAATCATTCAGCTGCCCAAATCCAGGTTTGATTTCACAAGTATTGAGTGCTTTATTACAGCAACCTGAAGCATTCAAACAAATTGAACATCACCTTTATAATACAGAATATCATATGCCTAAAAGTACCAGTATGATTTTCAGTTGCAAGTCTTGTGTTCTTCAACCTACAGCAAATATTTCCTGACCAAAATAAAAAGAATACAGTGTGTAATATTTCAAGATCTGGCATCTGCTATTCTAAACAGGCTGGTTTATTAACAGTGTGCAAATAAACCTTTACTGAAGAGCTCATTGATTAATTATTTTTCAGCTAACTTGGAACTGGGGCACAAAGTACCTTCTGTGCTGTAAACATCATGAGTTCTTCACAAATTGGAAGCTGAGAAGGCCTAAGGAACTGGGTACAAACTCTTCTCATACACAACCAGGGCTGAGCTCAAGTCTTCCAAACTGAATTTGGAGTAGTCTGTGTTTGGCATATGTCACTGTGCTGCTACAGAGCACAGGTTTAGAAGATTGTTGTATATAAAAGCATACTTTTAGCTTTAAAACACGACGGCCTAATGAAAGCATGCAGCAGTATTTTCATCCATAATACGGTAGAATTCGTTCTTAGTTTATTACCAGTGTTGACACAGCCAGGTGAGCACTGTACAAGCAAAAGGGATTGTAAAAAAACTACCTCTGATTAAACTCTCTGTAACACTCATACAGTATCTCATTTAGTCACCTTAGGTTACTATTTCAAACAGCAAATTTTGTAGACATAAGTTACCCTGAAAAAAAGCAGCAATCACAAATACCCTTCTCCTTGTTTTTTTTATACATTGCAAAATTTATCCTTGCATTTACCTGTCTTCAGTAGCTTACAATCTAGAAGCACAGGGAGCCTTTGTTTTCCAGCTAGCTGTGGCCAGGTTAAGTCAGCTCTGGCTCTTCAGTTTTTCTGGTTAAGTGTAACATTTCACACCATTACTAAGAGTCCTTTTTTTTTTAAAAAAAAAAAAAACAGTTTTTTTTTTTTTTTTTTTTTAGAGCCACTAAGCAGTAACTATAACCACAGGACTAAACACCAGTAGTTCTTTGCTTTCCTGTATACATTCTTCCCAAAATTAATCCTTTTACATTTCCAGGTTTCATTTTCTGCTTTGCTCACAGCAATGGGATTAGGAAGAATTTCATCCTTAATTTATTTATTTTTAGTGTAGCTCAAGCAGAAACATCTTAACACATTACTCCCACCCCTTGCAATATGAAGATTTTTGACTGGCAAAGGCCGGGCAGATGGACTGAAAGGTTCCCCATGTTTCCTTCTCCTACAGCTGAGGGCTTGAGAGCCTGTTTCCAACCCAGTGCAGCCCCTTCCTGGTTTTCAGGTGTATCGTGGCATTTCACACTGCTCACAACGATTTAGTGCTGGGTGATTTAGAAAGGTACAGCTATCACAATTCCATGGAGCCCCTTCAAAGTCTTCATCTCTTGGCTGAGTCCGTGGAGTCTGTTTGGAGCTGTTTTGATGCTCTAAAAAAAGCCAAAGGAAAACATTTTTTCATATTTCAGGAGAGAAGGATGATAGGCAAGATCGTACTACTGCTTTGTCACCTCGTTAAACATTCTGTCTTAAAACGAACATGGACACCTTTCCACTTAGGTAACATTAGAAGCTCTTTAGCAAAAGACCTTTAATTCAGTTTGTGAAATCTGAGTATTTACAGTATTTCACTTTTGTAAAGAGTCACTTCACCACAGTACCTTAAAAACAAAAAGAGCAGTCACCGCTGTTCAGTCACTGATACTGCTGAAGGTTTAATAGCTTAAAACACATTGAAAAATTTGTTACTGGCACTGCAACACCATCTTGTTAAGGAATGGCTTCATAAGTTTGTGTACAGCAGACTACTACACATTCTAAATTCCAATAACCCTACTTCACCTGAAGTGAAAGACTACTTCTAACTTAGCTCCTTCAAATAGTCTGACAGATGATATATTTTCTGCATCTTTGTCTAGCATTTATCCAGGCTGAAAAAGTACAATATAAACATAACACCGTAGGCTGTTTCTAAGCAAGATGATTGTTTTTCTTCCTCACGGCTTTGCAGCAGGGATGTGTGTATACGAAGCAGCACTTAAGTCTGTTTTCATTCATAAAATCAGTATGTGTGCAAATCATACATTAGGTATTAACCCACAAAAAGACTTGGTTTTCCGATGCCTCCTGCCACCACTTCAAGACCTCAGGTTATCTACTAAAAGTGACAAATAGTCCTAGGATGTGGAAACAACATTTTACAAAATGTTAATATTCAAAACAACATTAGCACACATACCTAGAAGTTAAGGTCAAGCATCTGCTACACAAACATCTGTAGAGCAGCTTAATTAAAAGAGGACTTAGGTTGTAAAATAGGACTGCATTAGTAATTCAAAGTGCACACATTGCTGTGATCTGCTAAGAAATCTAGCAGATGGCTGATGACAAAGTTAGTGCAAACATTACTTAAAGAAAATAAAAGTAACCTCCTTGCTTAGAAGTAAACCCTCTCCAGTCCAGAAGTTGCATAGTCACATTAACAGTGCTTGGCCTCACCAAATTCCTGCCCATACCTGTCTGTCTTCAACAGCTGAATATTAAGGAAATAGAATTTTTTAAGAAAAAGAAAATTATTTTGATGACTCCATGTTAAAAGCCAAGCTCAGAATATAGCACACCAACCCTAAAACTGATCTCCAATAAGCTGACAGACAAAACCAAGAAGCTAGTTATAAAAGTCATACAAATCCTTACAAGACATTGTCTTTCCAATTGCCAAATAAAATCACGTATCTCATGCACGTTTTGCATATTATTTTGCTTTGAAATAACAAATCAAATAGGCGACTGTCATTAAAAGAATCTCTTCAAGCGTCACATAGTAGTAATGCCTTAAGTCAACCACATGACCACTGTAATTTAACATAAATCCAGGCAGCTGTCTTCATGCCACTGCTCACCTGCTGCTGCTGTCTTTCCTGGGCACTACCACCTATGCAGGGAACACATCCTAGTATTGGGGTTTTTTTTGATCCATGAGCAGTAGTTCTGTGCTTTCTCTTTCTTTTAAATTTCCACATACTAAGCATTTTATTATATCAAAGGGTAAAATACTTGCTTCAAAAGAGGGAAAAAAGTTCCTTATATGAATTCAAAATGCAACTGCAAAAACCTTTATCAAGTGCTTATCAGCAACTAGAACTTATTTACAAAATTTGTATTTTCAAGCAGACTACATGATTACGCATTCAGAAGAGTGACTTCTTTTCCACTAACAATTTTAGTACATGATAATTACAGTAAGAGGAGACACAATATTATAAATCTTAGCACACATAACATTTTCTAAAAAAGACCACTGTTTTCTCTATATCAGAGCATAGGACCCTAGACTGTATCTTTCTGCTGAAATAGCCAAAGTGTTCAAAAACTTCCACTAGCATTTGAAACCATTCTTTTAACAGATTTCAGAAAGTAAATCTAAAAAAAAGTCCAAAAATACCTCAGATAAAAGGTAGGATTCTGCTACAAAATCACCACTGAAATTAGTGGAGTTCAGAAAGGTACTGAGCTACACGGCCGCTAGGTGTCTACAAACGGTGGGTTGAGTCACTCCGGGATGTACTGACTAAATCTCCACTGGGCAAAAAGTGAGACTAAATACATAGCTCCTGTGTGCTTACATAAAACTCAAGTGTCCTCAGCTGGCCATGAATCCTAGATACTATACAATCCTAGATGCTATACAATCTATCTAATCCTAGATACTATACAATCAGCACAGAAAATTTTAGAAACCGATAATGAACTTGTATACAAGTGGGGCACTGTTATCTCTTTAAATCGATGTGAGGAAACATATTCTGTCTTGGTCCTTAAAACGTCTGAAGCTGTTGCTGTACTAAAACTTCAGGGCTACTGTGAAATTCATACTCTGCACAAAAAATAGCCAAAGTGTGACCAGTCAAGTTAAAATATAATTAAAAATATAAATGCAAATTTTAAAAAGCTGCTGCGACCAATAAACTTGCATAAAAGATGCCAACTACACTATGAAATCCTAACGAGCATTAGAAGACAGCTAAACAAACCCAACATAAAGCTTTTAACCAGAAGTATTTAAAAAAACCCCATGATTAGGAAGCTCGAGTTAACATGTAAAATTTTGTATACTTTCAACTCTTTTTTTCTAATAGTGAATAACAGTATTTACAAACAAAATATTAACAGAACATTCATTTGCAACAACCTGCTTGAGGAAAACAAGTTGTAGCCAGGATTACCGCACTTACATAAAAATGTTCTGGTTTTCTTTATATATAGAGGAAAGTAGTAATAATTAGAATTGCTTCCTGTCATCACAGGGGTTTCTAAAAAAAAGAAGGAAAAAAAAAAAGCTTTCTTAATGCAGATTAGGTAACTTGTTGACCTACCCTTTTTATATGGCTTTGGTGGCACAACAGGACCAGGCTCTATATTATCATAGAAGTTACACGTGGCTTTTGGATCAAAGTTCCCTGTTAGAAAATAAAAGTAATAAAGGGTAACTCCAAGGTTATTTACATGCCTATGCCAATGATATGAACATCTAGAGGCTTCAGATTTTATACATCTTTTTATTATGATGTCATATATTAGCTTTTTCCCAAGTAGTCTTTTGTCACATATTTCTGGTTTTGTTTTGATTCTAGTAATATTTAGCAGGCTAATCCTATATTGAACAATCAACTTCAGCTCAATGTTCTGCATTGCTTTAAAAATACATCAAAAGATAAATCTTTCTGTAGGACACATTCTTGGTAAAAAAGGACTATGCATATCCTAATCTATTTGACTGCATTTATGTCAAGTTTCTGTCACAGAGAAAGTATTTTTAAAGACCTAGATAGATCTCTTTTTGCCAACTTCCTGGTTACAACCTGTAGTTCTATCTTGTACTAATTGGTCAGACCCTTTGTCAGCAAAAAGTTAAATTTTCAAGTAAAGCAGCTCCACTAAGGAGTTGGTTTTTTTTAAAAAAATTGCTCTTGACAGAGTCACTTTTAAGCTACCACTTTCTTGATAATGTAATTTAACTCGGCCAACAGAAATATTAGCAAGTCAAGTTTATCAGGTTGCAACTGAAATAGACACCTTTTAGAGGTAAGTTGATATTGATAATCAAAACTGAAAGAGTCCAAGTATGCACATTTAAGCTCATACCATACTAGAATCATAGAATTGTTTAGGTTGGAAAAGACCTTTAAGATCATCAAGTCCAACCATAAACCTAGCCAAGTCCATCAATAAACCACGTCCCTCAGTCCCACGTCTACATGCCTTTAAGTATCTCCAGGGGTGGTGACTCAACCACTTCCCTGAACACCCTCTTCCAATGCTTGATAACACTTTCAGTGAATAATTTTTTCCTAATATCCAATCTAAACCTCCTGTGGTACTACAACCTGAGGCCATTTCCTCTTGTACCCAGCACTTGGCCTTGAAGTACATACAACTGGGCTCTGCCCATCGGTCCAGACTCTCGATATCCCTCTGTAGAGCCTTCCTACCCTCAAGCAGATCAACACTTCCACCCATGTTTAAGTTCTGTTTTCAAAAAATGATGAATTCCATACCTCTAGATTGAAGGAGATCAACTTCTTTCAGTGTACAGTCAACGTTTATCTGGAGCTGTCTGTTGAGGCTTCTCAATCTGGTCATTTCCTCAGGCTAGAAAGAAACAACCCAAAATACTAATTGTAGGAAAGCCAGCATCTTATCTGACATAGAAATAACATTGCTGTATGTTTGTTAACAGTTTTATGAGAAACTGAGTATAGATAAGGCACTACAAAAAACCCAGCTAGGATTCCATTATCTGTCCTGTTGCCTCCTACCCAATTTATTCGCTCAGAAAACATTCTTCTATTGGCATTTCAGGATGAAAACAAAATAAACCAGCAAAAATGAACAAGTTGCTTCATAGTAAAATTCATTAGTAAGAAGACATAACTGAGCTGAAGTTTATAAAACCATACACCTTATAAAATTCTGTATAAATTGATGACTTGCTACATGAATTTGCATCAAGATGATCAGGAGACAGAATGTGAGCTGCAGTTCACCTTAATTAATACTTGATTATAACCGAGTAAGGTCAGAAGTTTATTTATTTGCATCACCCCAAGGAGCTCCAACATGCTAAACCTTCTAGCCCTGTATATTTAAATCATTCAATGCTGCAAGACATTAATTATGCTAAACAGAATAATCAGTTATTTAAGTCCATATATTTGCATATCATTAAGAAACCCCAAGTTACTGGAATACAGAGTTCTTAATACTAGCAGCAGTGATTATTAACATGTATGTAGGAACAACTATCCTATCCTAGGATACATTCCAGCATCACAGACAGAGTCACAAAGTCACAGAATGTTTGAGTTTGGAAGGTACCTCTGGAGGTCATCCGGTCTAACCCCTCTGCCTAGATAGCAAATGGCTTTTGAATATCTCCAAGGATGAAGACTCCACAACTGCTCCGGGCAACCTGTGCCAGTGCTCAGTCAACCACACATTAAAAAGTCATTCCTGATGTTCAGAGGGACCTTCCTGTGTTGCAGTTCGTGCCCATGGCTTCTGGTCTTGTCTCTGGGCACCAGTGGAAAGAACTTGGCTCTGTCCTCTTTGCACCCTCCCTTCAGGTATTTATATACATTGATAAGATTGCCCCCGAATCTTCTCTTCTCCAGGCTGAACAGTCCCAGCTCTCTCAGCCTGTCCTCACAGGTGAAATGCCCAGTCCCTTAATCATCTTTGTGGCCCTTCACTGCACTCTCCAGTATGACCATGTCTCTCTCTTGTGCTGGGGAGCCCAATCCTGGACACAATACTCCAAGTGTGTCCTTACCAGTGCTAAATAAAGGGGAAAGGTAACCTCTCACCCCTTGCTGGCAACACTCCTAATGCAGCTCAGGGTATCATCAGCCTTCTTTGCCACATTGCTGGCTCATATTCAGCTTGGTCTCCACCAGGGACTTTTCTGCAAAATTGCTTTCCAGCTTATACTGGTGCATGGGGTTGTTCCTCCCCAAGTGCAGGACTTAGTATTTCCCTTTGCTGAATGGCATGAGGTTCCTGCCAGCCTATTTTTCCAGCTTGTTGAGGTCCCTCTGAATGGCAGCACAACTCTCCCAGTTTTGGGTTATCAGCAAACTTGCTGAGGGTACACTCTACCCCATCATCCAGATCATTAAGGAAGATGTTAAACAGGATCAGACACAGCATTAACACCTGCGGTACACCACTAGTTACTGGTTTGGCTGTTCAGCCAGTTTTCAATCCGCTTCACTGTCTGCTCATCCAGCCCATGCTTCATCAGCTTCTCTATGAAGATCTTACAGGAGACAATATTGAAAGCCTTACTGAAGTCTAGGTAGACACTAACCACTGCTCTCCCCTTATCAGGCTTGAATTCCCCTTGGTGAATCTATGCTGACTACTGCTGATTGCTTTCTTGTCCTTCACGTGCCTGGAAATGGTCTCCAGGACTAGCTACTTCAGCACTTTCCCAGGGATCAAGGTGAGGCTGACCAGCCTGCAGTTCCCTGGGTCCTCCTTCTTGAAGACAGGAGTGACATTTGCTCTCCTCTAGTCTTTGGGCACTTCTCCCAAACACAAAAATTGATCAAAGATTATCTAGAGTGGCCTCACAGTGACATCTGCCAGCTCCCTCAGCACTCATGGGTGCATCCCATCCAGGACCATGAACAAGTATGTCCGCTTTGCTTAAGTATCCCCTGACCTGATCCTCTTCCACCAAGTGTATACCTTCCTTGCTCCAGACTTCTCCCAGGGTCTCTGGGACTCAGGATCCTGAAGGCCTGTAAAGACTGAGGCAAAGAAGGCATTCAGTATCTCAGCCTTTTCCATGTCCTATGTAACCAGGTCTCATTGCGCAATGGGCCCACACTTTCGCTAGCCATTCTTTTGTCACCTATGTACTAATAGAAGCCCCTCTTTGTCTTTGACATCCCATGCCAGATTCATCTCCAGTTGGGCTTTGGCTTTCCTAACCTCATGCTTGCACACTCCTCCCAGGAACATACCTGCCAAATGCTGCCCCAAGACATACAGCAGCCATACTAGTTAAGCAGCTAATAGCTCCTACTATGCCTTCCAGCCTACATCTGTCTGCATTGTTTATGTCAACACAGTGAGTAAGTCTGAACTGATTTGGCTAACAACTGCACAAAGTGGAAGTTACTTTTCAGTCAGATGAATTCTCTTGTCAGAGCCACAGAGATGTTGGGGCTAGAGTCACTTGCAGGTGGGAGTCACAAAGATAGGAAGAATCAGCAAGGAAGAGAGGAGACAGGTGACAACTATTTGAGGCAATACTGCCACTGAAAGTTATTTGGCACATCCTGTACATATCAAATGGGAAATAGATTGTCTAGGATATGCAACTACTCAAACAACAAAATACCTCCATATAACAAAATACCTTCTAAAAAAAAAAAGTGAAACCTTGCTGCATGAACACCAAGTTGTATATAGCTTGGGCTCTTTAAGTAGACTCGGACATACACTTTGATAGGTTGTTAGGAAAGTTCAGTTCTGTGATCCAGAAAAGCACAGGCGTACAAGTTTCAGAAATTCTTTTGTGAACACTAAGAAAGTTGGACACATACCTGCTTCTTAAATTATAAGAACTGGCTTACGAGAAGCCAAGAGCTTACAAAAAAATAATTTCCAAAGACTGAAGATTTTATACCCCAAAATATTTTTTGTATCATACTTTAGTTCATGAAAACATAAAAAAGAAATTTGTATCTTGATTTAAAATACTAACAAATTGCTTACTGTTGGAATTGCCGTTGTACAGCTAACTCTTCGAAGCCGCCTCTGCATTAGATCATGCTCCATACCATTGACTTCAGCTTTCAGGCGTTCGAGTTCTTCTTTCTCAAGCTTCAGTTCCTTTGCTAATCTCTCCATCCTTGCTCGTTGATGTAACAGCAAGGCTAATATTTTACATGGAAGAAATAGTTACTAACACACGAAAACCCAGAAAACTGAATTCTTAACTTATGCGTAAGATTCATGAGTGACCTTTCTGGAAAAAAAAAGTGATCATAAACATGCAGCCAAATATCAGTGTGAATATGCTTTCATGCCAAATGAACTACAATTTAGAACAAAGTTCTTCCAGAATAAAACCACATTTTAGACAGTAACTTGAAGTTGATATTACCATTTTGGTCAAAGCTTCTTTTTTTGCATATGGTCTTTCTCGTCTCAAAAATACAAAGGCACCTGTACAAGGAGACAGCTTCTCAGGATGAAGCAGAAACCTAGTTATATTAATACTGTACTGACAAAAAAGATAAACACCAGAGGTAAGATCAGAAGATAACACACACTTCATATCTACCGCTCAATAGCAGCTGACATACTAGCCTTAAGACATTAGCAAAATGTCAGTCCTGAATTGTTTTTTTCACTGCTATTACAGATTATGCTATAATAACTTTAAGTAGTCTTAGCTTTTCAGAGAGTACTGTTATTCTCAATACTGTAAGTTCCCCAGTGCTCAAAGGCAAAACTACAGAACTTCAATAAAACAGACTAGAGAATCCAGAAAATAAGAAGTGGGGGCAGCTCAGGTGCTCGAGTCTTTAATTCTACAACAGAGCTGATTTGCTGTCCTCTAACCTCTTTCTGCCGTTAATAATTCTCTCATATTTTTGTCATAGTACTGAAATTTTTGACTCTCAGTCACAAGCTGATATTGGGCTCCCAGAGAAGCCAAAGAAAGAATTTTGACCAGCTAGAAAATATTCAGTTTCTGCAGGAAGATGTTTCTCAGTATTTCATCATGATGCAAAACTGGCCAAGTTAGTGTGATGCTTAGCGCTTTCTGATCTGGCTGGTTTTATCTGATTAAAGCCTACCAGGACAGAGAAAAATAAGAGAAATTTGCTGTGGGTGTTCAGACAAGCACGCTGCTCATACAACAATGTTCCAGCAAACTGTTCAAATGTATGAAGACGTTGTAGAATCTGCAAAATGCTATGTCATACAAAGCACCAGTCAGCACCTGCCCTTTTCTTCAAACCTGTCCAATACAGGCAAAGAAAAACCACATAACATCTCAAGAATATTTGCATACCAGCAAAAAAAAAAAAAGTTAGAAAAAAAAGCAACAATATGATACAGCTAACTGGGGGAGGATAAAAAAAAACAAACCACAACCAGTCAGGAGCATAAAAATGACAGTGTTTTTTATCAGATGTCAGTCTGTGCAAAAAAAAGTAGCACTATACTTCGGATTTTGTATGGATCCACAAATTCACAGCCAAAGAATAAAGACCGAAAATCCTATCAAAGAATAACATCAGATGTTTTTATAATACAGGCATCAGTATTACTTAACAAAACTGTTCTCTACTTTTTGAAGTAGCGTAAGTCATCCAAGTAGAGTTTCAGATATCCCAAAAATAAATAAAAAAAAAAAGTACAGTTACCAGGCTCTATGATTTCCTGTTACTACTATCAAACCTTGTCTTTGTGCGAGTCCTCCAATTTAACATCCGATATGACTACGTTACATAGCTTTGTATCATACTCTAGTACAACTCAAACATGACTCACGCTACAAAGAAACAGTGGAAACACAGACATCAGAATGGATTTTTTGTAACACTTTTCACAATGGTTCATATTCAAAAGAAAATTAAATAAACTTGTTCGCTATATTAAGCTGTTATATATACTCTTCTTTAGGACTCCTTTGTGGTAGTAAATAATGTAACATTTATTCTTCCACAATTTATTTCTATCAAGAGTTCAGAGTGCAGCAATACCACAGGCTATAATAGAGTCCCTGCTGCCATACTATTGCCACAAAAGCAGACGCCTCTGAAAGCATATACTAACTAGTTTTATTGGGTTTGTTTTCCAAATACACAAATCTAGTCAAAGATACAAAGGCAAAACCAGATTTCTACATTTCAGAATGTTTTTCTCAGTTATGTGAAGCTACTTATAATTTTCCTCACATAACTGACAATCTTTAATGAAGCTGTAATAGGAACACTACCAAAGCAAACATATGGCCTAGGAGTTACAACCTTCCTAGTGTTCGTTCTCTCTAAATAACATTTCTAATTGGGTCCACCAGGTACAGAACAGCTCTTTGTTGGTGAGTTATAATAGATCAAAAGTCACAAAGCAAAACAATAAATCAAGAACTACAGGGCAGCATTGTAACCATTATTTCAGCTCTCTGAAGTGAAAGGAAGGCTAGAAGGAGCAATGGAGGAATAGACTCTCTTTTCCAAACACAAATCCAGAAACAAAGCACATTCTTTAAAAAACTGCTGCTGATTATCATTCTGTCATTACTCCAAACGATTGGTTTGAATGCTTGCAGAGTGATTCATTTGCTCAATTTTATATGTTTCAAATCTATAAAGCAAATTACTCCGACAATAGTAGTTTTCAGCTAAAGGCTAGATTTCACCTTGTTTATTTTTTAACTAAATTACTTAATTCTTCATTTATATGTGGCATTAAGACTAATTATTTCCTATCCCTATGCAGCAGAACGCATCCTATTTTTTTTCTCCCAATTTCTTCCTCCTGTTTCAACACTCTTTTGATTAAGATCTTCAAAATAATTTGAATAGCTTTCAAAACAAAAATATGATTTGTATTGATACCCAAGTAATTTTAGCTGCAATCCTACCTCTCTCTCCTCTTTCACTTAATACTCTTCAATCTAAACCAAATAAACTGGATTAAAATTCCCTGCAGAAGTTAGTGGTTCAGGTTTTATAAAGCACCCGAGTATAGGACAAATACAAAAAAATAATAAAATGTAAATTTATCAGTTCTTCAATGCCAAATTTACAAACCATACACACAGTATGTGAACAAACCATTCACTCTTGTTAGCTGTACTCTTTCAAGAAATTCCTCTAACATCAAAAGCATAGCAACTTTAGGAACCTTACAGATTCTTCATGCACTAGATTGAAATTTGGCAACATTTTTTTAAAAAACAGAAAACAACTCTCTCAGATGATTTTTGGTGCAATTTCTATTCTTCTCTGTACAGGTTCAAAAATTCTCGCTTAGTAAGTAGCAAAATCAAGCTGAAAACACATTTTACAATAATACAATTTGCAGGGCGAAACATTTACCTTGAGTATAAGCATAGTCATCTGATCCAGAACTAGAACTTCTCTGATACTTATGGCTTCCTTTTTCTCCTCCAGATCCCGGTACTACGGAAATAGGCTGAATAGGCTCCGGTGCTGCAGAATGCTCTTCTTGGTCCACTAAATTTAACAGATTCTCAGTTGGTGCTCGACCTACTGTGATTTTAAAAATGGTTGGGTTTGGCTGAGATACCATTACCCGAGGAGACTGTGTTGGTGCACCTGTAGGTCCAGTTGGTTGAGTGTAGGTAATATATACTGGATTAACACTAAATGGAGGTTTGGGTTGACCCGACATACCTCTTGATGGAGAGCTTGAAGGAGGAGTAGTGGCTGCATACAGCGGGTGCTGGTTTCGTTGAGATGGTTGATTACTTATTGGTGAAGGACTTCTGTTCATTGCAGTCCCAGGTCTTTGTGGTGGTTCAACTGTAATTTCTATTTTATTCATGGAACCTTTGGATAAACTAGGTCCAGCAAAAGGAGGAAGATACGACACAGAGTGACTGCCCTGTTTTTGAAAAGTCTGGGATGCTTGCTGATATGGATGGGGTGGCACAGTTGAAGGACTAGGAGGCATGAAAACATGTGAACTCTGATGACCCAACTGAGGCGGCTGAACTTGGTGTTGAGGAGAGCCAAAGGGAGAGGGACACTGGGATGGCGGTGGTGATCGAAAAGCTGACTGAGGGATCTGGGGTTGTTTAGGAGAATACTGAGAAGGTTGGTAGTTCTGTTGATGGGGATACACAGGTAGAGGACGGGGAGTATAATGTGGAACTGGGCCCTGTGGCGATGAATGCCACTGTGTATTCTGAGGAGTCTGTCGTCCTGAAGAACTTTGAGATGTTTGTCTTATATAAATAGAGCCAGGAGTCCCATAAAGATTGCTTGGAATCTGTGGAAGAATTTGTAGAGCTCTGGGTACACTCTGTCCAGAGGGGAGGTTTTGTGATACTGTAACAGTAATGGGATTTGTACTGTACCGAGGTATGTGCATATACGTGGGAGGAGGGCCTTGCATAGCAGACGTGTTCATTCCTGGTTGTATGGAAGATGGCTGTGGAGGTGGCTGTGGAGGAGGAGTAGCTGCATTTCTATTCTGGTCATTCATGAAAAACGGATTGTAACTAGGAGAAGCTGCTACAACAGCGGGAGCAGAATGTGGTTCTTGAACTAAGCATATCAGCTGTTTACCTGCTGTGCGTTGTGGATCAATATGTCCATCACTTGAACTGTGTACCAGTGTACGACCACCATTAAGTTGAGCTCCATCCCCTGCATGATAGCTGGTATGAGGATGAATACCCAGATTAATGTGCAAAAGGCTATTTCTATTCATTCTGGTGTCATCAGGACTATGGTACTCCATATATAAGTATTTGTTGCTCTCCTGTGCGAGGGCTCGACAACAGGCATCTAGGTTGTTGTTGTTCTAGGAGGAACGGACAGCTATTATTGTCAAATAGCAAAAGAAAAAGCTACTGCTTTGCAGCTTCAGTTGAATGCTTGTTGAACACAATCAAGCCTAGCTTGAACACAACTAGGGATAACACTTCACAGACGTGAATTTTGAAACAAAGGTAATACCTCCTAGGTCATAGCATTCAAGTAGTACATAGCACATATTGCATCTAGAAAAATGCTATGGTAACACTAGCTACACTAAGACACATTAAAAAAGTCCAGTTTTGGGGAAAGCAATGGTTACAACTCTTGGTATCTTCTGCAAGGAACAGGTATGTACAATTAACTACTTCTAATAACAACACAAAATTAAACTAGATCAAAATTACAAACTCTGGAAAGTCAAAACAAAAACGCAGATGACATTTTAATGTTTACTTGAGTGTTTACTGTTTTCACCTTTATTTTCCTGTCTACCTGAGTATTTTGCTTCACCTGAAAGTTTAAAAGCCAACATTTTACACCAGCTTCTTTTGGTAGAACAGAATTTGGTGCCTTAAGAATGAAGTCAGAATAGGTATTGCTTGAAAAAGTACTGGCAATTCCATAAGGCACCTTACAATTCTGACATAATTTCAACTGCCTTTAAGAATTTCAGGCTCAAGGCTAAAAAAGGTTTATTTATACATCAGTGAGGAAACCAAATAACTCCTGTAAATGTTTGATTTGTTCTGTGGTGCCAGCAGTTGAAACTATATAGAAAATGAATTATGAATCAAATCAAATGCATAATGGGGAATTTCCTTTCCCTTCTTCCCCTCTCCACTCAATTTAGCTTAATCTAGTCTTGTGAAAAGAACACCACCTATGATAGCTTTTCCAAAAGAGTAAAATCACTAGAAAACATTCCAGATTGTGGATTTTTTCTCTTCTCCCCAGTTTCTCATACAACAGCCTGTAACAGATGTGGTTCAGTTTTCAATTTAAACAGTAGTTAAAGAAAAAAAAAAAAAATCACTATAAGTCAAGTTCAACTCCATCTGGCCCTCAGCACCATGTGTGATCCAAGACTGGTATCTTCTGCGACATACAACACCTCCTACCAGAACAAGTGTGTATATATTTATATAAACACGCGTACAACCCCACCTTCCTTAGTGTGTGAAGGTGACCGTTCTAAGGAATATACATTAATAATGGTTTCACTTCTATTTTAAACACTATCACTATATAAAGTTTGTATACATGCTAATACTTATGTGGCCTTGCAGTAGTTTTCAACAGCCCATCCAGTCAGTTGAAAAGTCAGTTACATTTCTTTTCTAAAGGACTAATACCTAGTCAGTCTTAATAACAAAGTGAAGATGACTTTCCCAAAATTTCATATGATTTCACTATCAGAAGAACACACATATTGAGCATCTTTTCAGATGACGACTTACTACTGACCACGACAGAAGAGTCCAGCACTTAACTATGTGTGGGTCTCACTCGAGGGATACTTCCCCCTGACTACTTCCCCTTCATGCCAAACTCCCTTTCTAGACCCCAGTGGTCAATGGGAATATCCAGATGTATCACAGAAAATTTTAAAATCAGAGCAGGTGGGAACCTTGTAATAATAAGCAGCACCACAGTGCCAAGACAGTAGTCTCACAAAAGTTAACCGCTACCATCATCCACTTGCGACCCAAATGGGACTTCATACAGAGAGTCTTCAATTTCCTTAGGTCACTTCATCAGGGTGGAGGTAGAGAGAATGTAGATAGGACAAGCCCGAATATGATTTTCTCAGGGTATAGAACACATTTGTCATTTCATTTGTGATTTTAGATGAAGGTAGAAGAAGAAATGGAAAGGAAAAAAAGGGAAAAAAAAACCAAGCCCAAACCAAACCAAAAAAACCCTGCCACTTGACTTGGAAACAGAGAAGTAAAAATAAACCTTTGGACAGCTGTGGAGAAAAGATGCCATGAAGACAGAAAACCTTTGGATTCCTAGCTAAGGCCAGTTCCTTATCTTGGAAGAATGAGTCATTGTTCACTAAAATCTCCTCCAGTATATGTATGTTATTTATATAGCCATAATCAATAATCATCCCATTACTCACTTTCCTTATTCCCCGTAACCTTACAGTCACAGGTCACACAGACAAGGAATAACAGTCAGCGGAAAAAAATCCCACAAACACAAGTGAAGAATGAGAAAATCTTTGTACATAAAAGACAGGATGCAAATGCAAGTAGTGGAGTCTTCCACCCTTTCAAAATAAAACTAGAAGAATGAAAATCTATGGTCCATGTATACTACTAAAAAGAATTTTTGTACTACAAAAATAAAATACACAGACACTTAAAAACTCTTTACCATACCTGAAGCATACACTGAGATACCACCCCTTCAGGTATCTCAGGGAAACGTTGTCGGAGATCATGGAGTACCTGCACGTCGAGTTGTTGACTGCCCTGCGCCATGCCAGATTGATGATGTTCCAGATTACCAAAAAATGGAAATCAACAGGCCTTCCAATGATTATGGTCTTCTGAGGCTTCTGGCATTTTCTATAAGAAAGAAAACACCATCAATTATCTTTTAATCCATCACAAAAACTTCTCCTCCTTCCCCACCTACATGTGCGAAAGAGTTACCGTATTATCCCAGCTGACTGGAGATTGGCAAATGTGACACCTATCTACAAGAAGGGCCGGAAGAAGGATCTGGGGAACTACAGGCTAGCAGCCTGACCTTGGTGCCAGGGAAGGTTATAGACCATATCATCTTGAGTGCCATCATACAGCACCTACAGGACAACCAGATGATCAGGCCCAGTCAGCATGGGTTTATGAAAAGCAGGTCCTGCTTGACTAACCTCACCTCCTTCTATGAAAAGATGACCTGCTTAGTGGATGAGGGAAAAGCTGTGGATGTCGTCTACCTGGACTTTAATAAAGCCTTTGACACCATTTCCCACAGCATTCTCCTAGAGAAACTGGCTGTGTTATATCTTGGATAGGCATACTCTTCGCTGGGTGAAAAACTAGGTGGATGGCTGGGCCCAAAGAGTGGTGGTGAATGGAGCTAAATCCAGTTGGTGGCCAGTCACATGTGGTGTTTCCCAGGGCTCAGTATTGGGGCCAGTTCTGTTTATTATTTTTACCAATGGTCTGGACAAGGGGATCAAGTGCACCCTCACTAAGTTTGCAGATGACACCAAGTTGGGTGGTAGTGTTGATATGCTTGAGGGTAGGAAGGCTCTACAGAGGGATCTCGACAGTCCGGACTGATGGGCCGAGCCCAGTTGTATGTGCTTCAAGGCCAAGTGCTGGGTCCTGCAGTTGGGTCGCAACAACCCCATGCAATGCTACAGGCTTGGGGAAGACTGGCTGGAAAGTTGCCTGGCAGAAAAGGACCTGCGGGTGTTGGTCCACAGTCAGCTGAATATGAGCCAGCAGTGTGCCCGGGTGGCCAAGGCGGCCAGTAGCATCCTGGTTTGTATCAGAAATAGTGTGGCCAGCAGGACTAGGGAAGCGATTGTCCCCTTGTTACTCAACACTGGTGAGGCAGCACCTCGACTACTGTGTTCAGTTTGGGGCCCCTCGCTACAAGAAAAACATTGAGGTGCTGGAGTGTGTTCAGAGAAGGGCAACAAAGCTGGTGAGGGGCCTGGAGCACAAGTCATATGAGGAGCGACTGAGGAAACTGGGGTTGTTCAGCCTGGAGAAAAGGAGGCTGACGGGAGACCTTATCACTCTCTACAGCTACCTGAAAGGAGTAGCTAGGTGGGGGTCAGCCTCATCTCCCAAGTAACAGGAGATAGGACAAGAGGAAATGGCCTCAGGTTGTAGTACCACAGGAGGTTTAGATTGGATATTAGGAAAAAATTATTCACTGAAAGTGTTATCAAGCATTGGAAGAGGGTGTTCAGGGAAGTGGTTGAGTCACCACCCCTGAAGTTATTTAAAGGCATGTAGACGTGGGACTGAGGGACGTGGTTTATTGATGGACTTGGCTAGGTTTATGGTTGGACTTGATGATCTTAAAGGTCTTTTCCAACCTAAACAATGCTATGATTCCATGATTATCAAGAGAGCCAATGGCTTAAACACAAGAGTGCGAATCATCATGTCTCAAATTCTAATATTAAAACCCTTAATATATCACAGTTATGTCTACATGACATTTCACTGGATGTGCTAGTTCAGATCTTTACACAGTCCCACCATGGTACCATGTAGGCATAACTTAATCTGACCTGCATAAAATGGAACTGTTATTTACTCCCAATTAAATCCTGAACAGTTTGTAGAAAAGTCTGAAGTTATCACTAAGCATGCACGTCTTTGTTATTTACAACATGGTAGAAGTCTAGAAAACTAAGTAGCACAATTATCCAAAACCACCTCTCTAGTAACAGGGCTTAATCTCCTTCCTCTTTACATCACTACAAATCCAAGAAGTTAGAAGCAATTTTTATGAAACAGAACAAGAATTAAACAGAATTTAAAGAGTCCTTGTCAGGATTATAACAAGCATCTATTCAAGATTTTTGTAAAGCACCTATTATATTCACACTAACATGATTAGTGACAAAAAAACCTCTTTCCATTTCAGGATTCTTCTATTCAACAGTGAAATTCTATCTGAACTTCAATACCCAAGGACTACTAGAAGGCAAACACAGTCTGAGTCAACAAATGCTTTTCTCACTGTGTCTTATGATCACAGAGTCATCAAAAGGTAGCTGAAGTCTAAGCAAAGATTCACAAAGACTTTGCATGAAGGTGGTGCATGACACAGCCCCTGTAACATCTATTATTGCTGAGCGTCAAAAGCCTTTCCAAGTACTCAGTTGAATTCTTAACTGAACATACTGCTGTGTTCAAAAATGGAAATAGAAGTCAGATACCACGGAGTTGGTGTTCAAGTGATATTAGCTACGCAAAGCCCCAAGTTTAAATCACGCTTATCTCAACCTCAGTGCAAATGTAGGTGGCAAATAATATATAGACATACCTGTCAGCTTTTCACTTGTTAGCTCAACTTCTAATACCAGTCTAGAGCAGTACAACAGATCAGCACAAACATACACATACCTTCATGCACTAATAAACTCCAAAAGTTTTCTGTATCTTTCCTAAGAAAGTCTTTCAGTTTTCATAGACAAGAAAATAGAACATATACCTTCAAAGAAATGTAAAATGTCAGTTTTAGGATAAAAAAGCTTCAGTGTTTGGGGTTTTTTTGGTATTATTTTGAATGTTTAATAACCACACCTTTCTTTTTTCACCTGATTCTAAATAGTACTTCCTTTCTCTGAAAAGGGGCAAAACAACAGTAACTACCACCACAACAAAAACAAAAGTCAAGTCCACTCCACTATCTAGCTACTTTGCACGTGGACAGCTCTTAATTGACATTAGTATTCATTAAATAACACATACACTTACATGAAGGGTTGCTCTCTGTCATATCTGGTATATTCTAGTATCCAGTATCTGTCACATGACACTCTTTCTCAAGATAAATGAAAGAAGTTTAAACAACAGTGAGATATGTGAGTTATCACACTGTGACTTAAGAAATACTACAATAAACTTGTATTGTATAATCACAATGCAGTTCTGTCCATTGCAGTAATGCTGCAGACCCCTTTATTTTAAAAGGAAATGAGTTTCCACTGACTACAAGAGCCAGCTGAAACTTCAGACCTACACTCACTGTAGGGGATCTTTTATAAAACATACTTTTTGTAAATGACAAACTTCATAATCTGAAAGGCACACCACCACAAGAATTCTCAAAGCAAACCTGACAGCAATCAAGCTCTATGTGTTTCTAGACACCTCTCCTTTTCCCAGGAGGCAGGGGATGAAGTGCAGTAATAGAATACCACCCTACCAGAATAAACTGCAGTTAAAACCGCTGTGGAATAACAATGACAGAATCTAAAAATCTGAAATAGAAGATAATAATTCTAGAAATTTCATTTGCATGAGCAAAATCCTTTGTATCGCTTCTCTCTTCAAATACAAATTCAGATGCAACATGGGTGAGCAGACTGGAGATCCACCATCGACACATACAATGTGTTTCTACAACACTTTTATAATAATATAAATTAGTAATTTATGTCATGTTTTTCTAACACTTCCTGAATACATGTGGTGAGTAGAGGTGTAACACTTAAAGTAATTTGCAGTTATTGGCCAACTATGAATTTTATCACAGATTTCTCTTCTAAACACAAATAATGGATAACAGAAATTTCCATTTTAATTTTGAAGAGTTGAAGCTTCTAACCTTTACAGTTACACAGATAGCCTTGAAAAGTCTACAAGAAACACAAAATAATTGTTTTGAGAAGCGAGAGCACACAATCATTTAGAACTCCTTGGATTTCACGGATACACTACTGTGGAAAATTGTTATTTTTCAGCCAATATCACAAAATTCACTACTGCCGTATCTAGGAGTCCAGCATTTTGATCTGCCTACAACTGACTGCACATTTTCCACTGTAAGCGGGGACAAACTGGCTGGAACACAATACTTGCTTCCCATGTTGCTCCACAGCACCAGGCAGGTAGAGAAGCAAGCTGTTCAGAGAGCCAAGTTTACAGCACAGACTACACAGCTAAGATGCTTAGACAACAAGAGCTCCTACTGAGCCATGAGAGACTAGGAAAGCAATCCTTAAAAGCTTCTTTCTTTCACAGCATGCACAGGCCAAGGGACATGCCAAGGTGCACTACACGACCAGCCTCACAATTACTGAAAGTTCACAGAGCAGAACGCATAAAAAACAACTCCAAAGTCACCATGACAGCAAACCACTTCATCTCTAACTTTCAAAAATGAGTTGAGGATACCCAAACTCTAGTTGAAAAGTATTTAATAAGGATGGAATAAATTAACATTCCTACATACATGGCAGTTCTCATGGCAAAACCAAAGGATATTGTTCCAGAATTAGTCCTGCTGTGTTAACACACAGAGATGACTTCAGGAGCCACTAGTGAACCTTGGGGATTATGCAAAGCATGACTCAAGTCCTAAACAAGTACACTAATCAGTTTTTCACACCTTTTACATGCCCAAATGGTATGTACAGGAAAACAGCATCTTAAATTTAATCTTCTTTCACTAAGCCATTTGTGTACCTTGCAAGTTAAGAAAATAGTCAACAGTTCTATTGATCAACTGATGCCTCTTTTCTGAAAGAATGAATAAAAAATAGAAGTACCATAATCTCGATACTCCCTACAGACTTGTTCAAATATAAACAGTAGTGAAATGGATTTCGTTCTGTAATTTTTGAACCACTAAATCACCTAATCAGCAGTAAAGAGATCCAACTGAAAAAGAAACAAGGTACATATATACTATCTGGAAAACTGTAAGTTACTTAGTGGTGTGCACTTATGCAATTACAACGTATGCAGCAACTGAAATAATTCCTGAGTGAATTTCCAGA